TTATTTATTTATTTGACAGAGAGAGAGACAGCGAGAGAGGGAACACAAGCAGGGGGAGTGGGAGAGGGAGAAGCAGGCTTCCCACTGAGCAGGAAGCCCAATGCGGGACTCGATCCCAGGACCCCGGGACCATGACCTGAGCTGGAGGCAGATGCTTAACGACTGAGCCACCCAGGCGCCCTAGAGAGAAACATCTTTGAGGTTAGGGAGGGAATCCAAAGTTTGAGATGCTTATTCGATAACCAAGTGGAAATGTCCCGCTGAGTTTGAAGCTGAGAGGTTAAGACTCAAGATACCGATCTGGGAAGGAATGAGAAAGAAAGGGGACCAGCTTCTAGATGGAAAGCTAATTAGAGAAAGCGTATATGGTAACTTTGCCTGTTAGATGCTCTTCCACACTGCATATCACAGTGAAGAGAGCCAGTGGTCATATAGCAGCGATGACTGGCGGCAGTCAATCACTGGTTCACATTCAACTGCTCTCGAAACTCCAAGCATCCAGTTTCCATATCACAGAGGCACAGGAAGAAATGCATATCCATAAAAGCATACGTCTATGGAAGGAGAGTCACTTGAAGTTTTTTATTTGCTTAACACCCCTTCCCTTTTTTTTTGACCTCCTGAGTATAACCTAAAAGGCAAAGTGATGGTTCCACAGAAATGTAACAACTCTGAGGAATTGAAAAACCATGGCAAACATTTTTTAAAAAGCAATACTGGGGCCCTTGGGTGGCTCATTAGGTTAAGCATCTGCCTTTGGCTCAGGTCATGATCCTAGGGGCCTGGGATCAAGCCCCCTGTTGGGCTCCCTACTCAGGGAGCTTCTCTCTCTCCGTCTCTCCCCACCACTTGTGCTCTCTCTCTCTTGCTCAGCATTCTCTCTCAAATAAATAAATAAAATCTTTAAAAATTTTTTAAAAAATAAAAAAGCAATACCACTATTTCAAAATTTTTGAGGCTGTTATCAAATAAGTACACATTCAAGCATGATGTCACCCACATTTGATGTACGAAATCTAAATTGGAGTAGGGCAGTATCAGTAACGGCAACGACTGTTTAACTTGTGTTAAAATATGTTTTTTATTTTATAAAATATAAAAAATATTTTTATAAAGAAAGAATTTCTAAGCAAGAGAAAATAAGGTAGAAGAGGAAAGAAGAAAATTCTTTTCTTTTTTAAAGATTTATTTTTTAGAGACAGCAAGTGTGTGTGCAAGCTGGGGGAGGGGCAGAGGGGGAGAGAATCTCAAGCAGAGCTCCGTACCTGACGTGGGGCTCAATTTCATGACCTGAGCTGAAACCAAGAGTTGGATGCCTAACTGACTGAGCCACCAGGCGCTGCTCCCCATTTCTAAAGATTTGAGAGAGAGAGAGAGAGAGAGAAGAAATTTTTCTAGCTCCAGCTCACCATAATTGGTTCCAAACCGTTGCAGACTGAAGCCATCCAGGAAACTTCTTCCATGTTCCATAGTCTTTCTGCACCATCAATAATATGGAGCCACTACACAACTGCTCACAATCCGGGATTTTGCTGCTCTGAACAAGATTGTCAGCTGGGCTCAGGAAACTTTAACAGGGGACTTAACAGTAATGGTTGAGAAGCAATTCATAATCATGTTCTTCCCAGGTAAAACCAGGTTAACCGTGTCACACCTTTTCCACCTCACAGCTCAAGATGCCATAACAGGGCACTTGGGCCCCCTCAGCGACTCACTGCCTCTCCACCAGCACCTGTTTGTGGAGCATTCCTTCTACACAGGGTTCTGTCCCGTTTAGCTTTAATGACAATAAATGCCATTTTAAAATACATCAACCTCTCCAATGTATTTGCAGAGAATATGAATTTCCCTACTTTGGAGAAAAACACTTTCTTTAAAAGTACACTTCCTTTCTAGTCTGGGCAATTAGCTAAAAGACAGAAGGACCAGAGAAGGAATTTCTTAGAGGAAAGGAAACTATGTAATGAAGGAAAAAATCACAAAACAGACCAAGCAGCTTGACAAAATAATTAGGAGAATAAAGCAATATTCTGATTTCTGTAAGACATCATATAAAAAGACAGGTTCAGTAGAAATTAAATTTATTTCTGGATATACCACATTAAAATATATGCTGTATTTATTCAGAGTATCATAATCAATGCAAAAATAGAATTCTTTTCTCCCCTGTAAAGTTAAGTACAATACTGTAGGCTACATACATGATATTTTAGTCCGGTCTTCAGTATTAGCTTCTCAAGACAAACAAAAATCTAGTTATACATATCAAATCAATCTTACAAAATATATACAAAAGAATATCGTAGTGTAAAAAAATGAAGTTACCAAAATATAACTTATGTAATTTACTTTACACAAAATGTATCTAGTTAATTTTTTCAAGAGCTTCACCCATTAGTTGAATAGCGACACTCTTGCCTTCATCTGTTTGAATAAGAAGCAAAGCTTCGAATTTGCCCACTGACTTTGGTCTGAACTGCACAGGCATGTTGATGTAATGCTGGGCTCTGTAAAGAGAAAGGAAAGGTCACTGGCCTGATGCTACAACAGCAAGTGCATCACCTGCCATAATAATAATAAACACGATGCATGGCAGAGAGCACAGTCGATCTTCATGAAAGAATTTAGTATTGTTATATTCAGCTTAAATTTGGTTCTCATTTCTTTGATTCTATTATTTAATAAGAAACTGGCACAGAGGAGGGGAAAATCTAAAATTGGATTCAAATAATATTGCACAGGGGCGCCTGGGTGGCTCAGTTGTTAGGCATCTGCTTTCAGCTGGGCTCATGTTCCCGGGGTCCTGGGATCGAGCCCCGCGTCGGGCTCCCTGCTCAGCGGGAAGCCTGCTTCTCCCTCTCCCACTCCCCCTGCTTGTGTCCCCTGTCTCGCCGTGTCTCTGTCAAATAAATAATAAAATCTTAAAATAAAACGAAACAAAAACAAATAGTATTGCATATATATTCCTGGCTATCCAACAAAAATAGGAGAAGGGAAATGAGAGGTCTGTTCTATTGTGTATGGAACTTTGTGTTCTGTCCGCAGAGGTGGGTGAGAGGACACCTGACATATCCTGCCCGTCTTCCTCCAGCAGGCATACTCAACTGGGAAGGATATTAAACCAACCTGTCCCATGCCCATCAGTAACAGGGCAGGACTGTACAGGTTCTGCTCCAGGATTGTTAAGAACTTTTATAAAAAATTTTCTTGAAAATTTATTTTCAGATTATGTTTGACCCTTGAACAACACAGGCTTGAACTGAGCAGGTTCACTTACCTGCGGATTTTTTTTTTCTTCAAAAAATGTAGTACTATAAATAGAATTTTTCTCTTATGATTTTCTTGATCACATTTTCTTTTCTCTGCCTTACTTTACTGTATGAATATAGTACATAATACACATGCAAAAATATCTTAATTGTTTGTTATTGGGAAGGCTTCTGGTCAACAGTAGACCATTACAAGTTAAGTTTTGGGGGAGTCAAAAGTAATACACAGATATCCTACTGCATGGAAGTCGATGCCCCTAACCCTCGCATTGTTCAAGGGTCAACTGTATACAGAGGCAGGTAATGAGTGCCCTGTGCTTGAACTATTATGTTGGGGGTGCCTGGGTGGCTCAGTTGGTTGAGCATCTGCCGCTTGGTTTTGGCTCAGGTCATGATCTCCGGGTCATGAGATCGAGCCCCGTGTCAGGCTCTATACTCAGCAGGGAATCTGCTTGAGATTCTGATCCTCTCCATCTCTCTTTGCCCCTTTCCCTGCTTACACGTGCTCTCTCTCTCTGAAAACTAAGTCTTTAAAAAAAAGAAGTATTATGTTGGGAGGTTTCTGTTCATAAAACTAGGTCCCAAGAGCTTCACAAATATACCTTTATTCCCGTGGTGAATGAGACCACATATACTTTATCATAGCCTATGTGATGTCACTGACTTTTAGTTTTGTCTTAAGTGAAAATTTATAGTTTTTAGACTTTCCTCAGGGGAAGGTACTTCATCCCTGAGTCTCATCTATGAACTACATTTTCAAAGTTTAACAATCAGAACTGATAGATGCTTTTGTTTCCAATATATTTCCTGATAAAACTCAGTACAGTGTTAGCTTTTGGGTGTACAACAGCAGTGGGCTAGAAATTTAGAAAACAGTTTTTAGTATTTCAAAGCCCTTTCCCTGGATATAACTAGTAAGGCAGAATTTAAAAGATGTAAAATCTTTAAAAAA